TTGTTTTGTTTTATTTTTCCTCCTTTTTGCAGTTGGTTTCTAATTTCATTTCATCATGGTCAGAAAATATACTTAGAATAATTTCAATCTTTTTAAATTTGTTGATGCTTGTTCTGTGACCCAACATATGATCTATCCTTGAGAATGTTCCATGTGCACTGGAGAAGAATGTATAGTCTGATGTTCTGGGGGGATATTCTGTAAATGTCGGTTATGTCCGTTTGGTCTAGTGTTTCATTTAAGGCTGATATTTCTTTTTTTTAAATATATTTTATTGATTTTTTACAGAGAGGAAGGGAGAGAGATAGAGAGTTAGAAACATCGATGAGAGAGAACATTGATCAGCTGCCTCCTGCACACTCTCTACTGGGGATGTGCCCGCAACCCAAGTACATGCCCCTGACCGGAATCAAACCTGGGACCTTTCAGTCCGCAAGCCGACGCTCTATCCACTGAGCCAAACCGGTTTCGGCAAGGCTGATATTTCTTTACTGATTTTTTGTTTGGTTAATCTGTCTAGGGCAGTCAATGGAGTATTACAGTCTCCAATTATAATAGTGTTTTGATCTGTTCCTCCCTTTAGTTCTTTTACTAGCATGTTTAATATATTTTGGTGCTCCCTGGTTGGGTGCATATATATTAAGAAGTGTTATGTTTTCTTGATGTAGTGTTCCTTTATCATTATAACATGTCAATCTTTGTTTCTTGCTATATTTGTTATCTTGAGATCTATTTTGTCAACTATAAGTATGGCTACCCCTGCTTTTTTGTGGATGTTATTTGATTGGAGAATAATTTTCCACGTTTTTACTTTGAATCTACCTTTTTCTCTGCTGTTTAGATGTGTCTCTGGTAGGCAGAATATAGTTGGGTTTTGTGTTTTTTTTTCATCCACTCTGCTAATCTGTGACTCTTTACTGCTGAATTTAGGGTACTTATTGATGTCTGAGGATTTCTTATAGCCATTTTATCTTTTGTTTTCTGGTAATTCTGTGCCTCCATTGGTTCTTTTCTTTATGCATCTACCTGTTGTTTTTTTGGTGGTATTCCATATATTTTTCCTGTGTTTCTTCTTTTTTTAAACTATATGTCTTGTTTGGGGAATTTCTGTGTGTGGTTGGCATTAGTTTTATAAAAAGTGAATTTGCATATATACCATAGTGGTGTTGTTTTTTTCTCTTTTGAGTGCATCTGATCTTCATCTTCCTTCGCTTGTTCATACCTGTCCCTCTTCTCCTTGTATATTTTTATTGTCACAAATTATTACTATTTATGCTGTGAGTTTTTGGCAATCCTACTTATAGCGTTATGACCTTATGTTCTTTGTTTCAGGTAGAATAACTCCCTTGAGTTGTTCTTGCAATGGAAGTTTTCTATTGATAAAATTCCTCAGCTTCTGTATGTATGGAAATGTTCTTATTTCTCCTTCATATTTAAAGGATAATTTTGCTGGATATAATATGTGTGGCTGGTAATGTCTCTCTTTCAGACATTTGAATATTTGGTTCCACTCTCTTCTGGCTTGTAGAGTTTCTGCTGAGAAGTCCAGTGAAATCCTGACGGGTTTTCCTTTGTAGGTCACTTGCTTCTTTTCCCTGGATGATTTGAGGATTTATTCTTTGTCATTAATTTTTGACAGCTTCATTACCAAGTGCCTTGGAGAGGGCCTGTTTGGATTGATGTAACTGGGTGTTCTGTTTGCTTCTTGGATTTGAGGATCTAGTTCTTTCCATAGATTTGGGAAGTTCTCATCCACCATTTGTTTTAATAGACTATCCATTCCATACGCTCTCTCTTCCTCCTCTGCTATGCCTATGGTTCTGATGTTATTTATTTACTTATTTATTTCATGGAATCAGAGCAGTCTTGTAGGGCTATTTTGTATTTCTTTATTCTCAGGTTTCTCTCTTCTTCCCTCTGCATCATTTCTTGATTCCTATCTTCAATATCACTAGTTCCTTCCTCTAAATGGTTGGTTCTTTTTTCTATGCACATCAGCTCACTCTTCATTTACTTAATTGCCTGGTTTATTTCCAGGATTTCTGCTATATTCTTTTTTAAAATTTACTTTTGTTCATTGATTTGTTTTTCCGAGTGTGTTTAATTGTCTGTCAGTATTTGCTCACATCTCATTAAATATTTTCAGAACCACAATCCTGAAATCTCTGTCATTCAACTCACATAATCCCATGTGTTCCAGCCTTTTTGGGGAGATTTTTTCATTTTCTTTCTGGTCATCCTTGTTGTGGTGGTTGTTCATGGTGTTTGCTGTTCTTTGTTTTCCCATTTATCTCTGAGGAGGTCTTTCTACTCTGTTCCACTTGATGGCAACAAGTTAAATTGGAAGATTTTTATCCTCTGTGGCCTCACAGTTTTGAGCCTCTGTGACTTCTGTAGGGCTGTACAGCCTCTGCTGCTTGGGTGGGAGGTTTGTTTTTCCCTCACAGTAATGGCAACCCTTGACCTCCAAGGGTCCAACCCACGCACCTCTCCTGGGGCTCAGTCACAGAGGGAAACTGTGTTTCTACTGCAACAGCTCTTGGCCTAAAGATAATACACTCCTGTAGCAAATTCCAAGGGTGAGACCCGGAAGTTTAATCTGTGGCAGGGCTCTGCAATTTATTTTCTTTGCCTGAAAGCCTGCAGCCAGGCCCAGCTGCGGGGAGCAACTCTGTAGGGAAGGTGTCTGCTGGCTGGCAGCTCAAACATGCAACTCAGATCCCATTTACAGCACGCCCCATGGTTCAGACTCTCTCTCTGTGTGTGCATGATCGCCCAGTGCCACCACTCCAGTGGCTACTACAACGGCCAGTCATGCGCCGGGTTAGCTCTCTGTGCATCCCACCGGCTGAGGAAAGTGCTCGTACCTGCTGCTGCCAGTTCCCGGTTACACTGCAGAAATGCTGCTGTGCTGTAGCCTTGTCCAGGCCCTCTCTCTTCTCCTCTCCCCGCTGACCCCAAGGAGCCCACCTTAGTTGTTTCAGGGTGCAGGTCGCTCAGGCGTGCATCCCTGTTGAGCAGGGACTTCTTTGTTGAATTATAGGTGGTTATTTTGTTTTAATGTTAGAGGGAGAGGATAGATGCGCCCTTACACCACCATTCCTCTGACATCACTAGCAAGAGTAAAGTGTTTTAAATATGTCATGTGATAATTACCTCAAAAATGCAGTGATAATTATATTATTTAATATAAAGTATCTGGATAAAGAAACCAATAACATTGGTAATTAACATATAATAAAATGTTTAATTCATTAAAATAATTTATAATGAAAATTTTCTAAAAAATAAAATTCACAGGACTTAATTAATGAAGAATATGTGAACTAGGGAAAGTAAATATCAACCTTAGGTACAGGGCCTTACTAAAATATTTTGAAAATAGAAAAGGCACTGGGTTTTTGGACAAGAATATGAAATATTTCAAAAAATTATCCATTTTTCTCCAAGTCAATATGTTAATGAATATAATAATTTTTCAATAAAAATTTTCAACAAGCTATTTTAAATAAAACTATTCTGAAATGAAATTTTAAAATAAAATGAGTACATATATCAAATAATTCTCTTAATAGAGTCTAGCAATACTAAGTAAAAGTGGGCAATAGGATAAATAAACTTTATTGCATGTTACATGTATAAAGAAACATTTTTTTTTAAATAGTGTTGAACTTATGGGGAAAAAGACATTTAACAGTAGCCTTACGTATATCACTTAGCTATTCATCTAAGGCAGTGGTTCTCAACCTTCCTAATGGCATTACCCATTAATACAGTTCCTCATGTTGTGGTGACCCCCAATTTCATTGTTACAAATTGAACATAATTAAAGCATAGTGATTAATCACAAAACAATATGTAATTATATATGTGTTTTCTGAGGGTCTTAGGCGACCCCTGTGAAAGGGTCGTTCGACCCCGAAAGGGGTCGCGACCCACAGGTTGCGAACCGCTGATCTAAGGAGACAGTCTGATTGGGAGCATACATTCTCCCGCAACACCCCCAGACATCAATATAGTCTACCAGTATGATGAAGACAACTTGTCACACCAGTGGAGAAAAATAGGGCTTCTCCTCAAATGATGTTGGGAGAAACATGATTCCAGAAATTAATGATTATCTTGTATAATGGGCAGAATATTCTTAAGAGGTCATGTTTGTTTTTAAATAATATTTTCATTACAAAAGGAATTTATGGTAATTTTTACTGGAACGGAAAGTGGCAAGGAGCACTAGGATCCCATATTCTTTCCAGAGACAATTATAATAACAGTTTTGGTGTGTCCCCTCCAATTCACATGAAATAAGCACCATTTCTTATTGTTGACCTAATATTTTACATCTAATTATAACTCTTGCATTTTCAATAAATATTATTCTCATTTTCTATTTTTTCACAAATATTTAATACCATTATTGACAATTATGTGAGATTCCATCCTATTGATTCTTGATGGTTTCCTTTAAAAAGTTTTTTTGGGGGTGGGTATGGGCTATTTGAAGTTTCCTTTTTTTCATCTTTACCGAACATAATCTGTGAACAACTATGCACATGTTTGTTTGTTTGTTTGTTTGTTTTTTGGTGTAAATGCAGGTTTTATAGTAGGTCTCTCTGTAGCTGAATAGAGGAATATTTTGTTGGTCCCTTGGCTTTAGTTTGGCCACATTCTCTCAGAGATTTGCATCGGAGATAAATATAAAAATGCTGATTTTTTATATTTTTTCCTTTCTACAAATTGTTGTTTTATTTAGTATTAAAACAGTTCCGAAAGGAAGTGAGTAGTTTCATAGTTATTTAAAAGCAATCAATTACAGTTATTTTTACGGAGCTAATCAGTGTCCTTTAAATGTGTAATCAAGTGGCAGCTGTAATTACTTGAGCTACTTGGCTCAGGCCTACAGCTGAATCTATAGAAATTTACCCACTTTTCTTTCCTGTTCCTTCAGAGACTGTAATAAGGTGTTCTATTTTGTTTTGTTTTTTTTTATCCTCATAAAGCTTAGTTTTGGAGGAATTCCAGTACCAGGCAAACCTGGGACCTTCTTAAAGAAAAACTTCCAGGGATGCATGGAAAATCTCTATTACAATGGAATCAACATAATTGACCTGGCTAAAAGGCGGAAGCATCAGATTTACACCGTGGTAAGTTGGCATCTTTTCAGCTTGGTGGTTTCTAACCCTTCACACATCTCACCCTTGGTACCTCTTCACTGTATGTTTATAATCCTTTTGGAGGCCCCATCCACCTCCATGGAGAGGGGAGGAGATGCAGGGACTGGGTCAGTGTGAATTACTTTATTGGGAGAAACCAAGGCATTAGAGGTACCTGGGGAATTTCATGTTTCCAGCTATGATTTCTGTGGCAGCTGTGGGTAAGTTTTGCAGTCTACACTGGGACAACATGATTGTCTTTATTACCTGTGGGAAATGAAACAACAGAATCAGAGATTTTATCCAGTTGTTATTGTTGATACTTAAAATAGGGCATTTTGAACGAGAAGTGAAACTTTTGGTGTTTTGAGATTCCCATTCAGCAAGTAAAATAAACTTTAATCAATAAATACTTCCCCTCTCCAATAGACGGTAAGTTTCCTGCAGAACAGGGCTGTTTTTTTCTTTGTCACTAGAGCATTTACAATGCCTAGAAGGTGCCTTGCACATGGTTGGTGCTCACTAATCCTATTTCCAGCCATACCTGCCGATTTGTCGATTTCTCCTTCCAGTTCTGTCAGTTGGGGGGTCATATGTGTACAGCTCAGTGGTTCAGTGGGAACAGTAAAGGTTGTCTCTTCCTCACGGATTGGCCATTTTATCAATACATCATGCTCTTTTCTGTCTATGATAACTGTCTGTCCTTGTTATCACTGGGCTGCAGGGAAAGTCCTGGCCTGTCACCGAGCCTTCTCTGACGCCATCCCTGCAGGGACTGGGTGGGGTCCCTCCTTACTGCTGAGTGCTGTCCTAGACATGTGGTCTCCACTGGTCTCACAGGAGAGGCTTCCTAGGTCTGCAAGGGTTTAAGTCCAGCTTCCTACTTAGTCTCCCTGACACCTGGCTGGGAGCTCTGGGCGCCTTGGGGGTAGCCTGGCAGGTCGTGGATAGTGGGGCCCTGGTGTGTCTGTGGTGCTTGGCCGGCGCAGAGCAATTATCATGTGAAGGTTTCTGAGGCACTGTGCTTCCTTTTCCTGGCCCTATGATGACAGAGAAATGACTTCTAATGTAGATTTTGTCCTACACCAGTTGGTCTCTGGGTTGCTAGCTTCTTCAGCAACAAGTTTGGGACACATAAGGCCAAAAGAAAACCGCGGGAACTCACCCTCTAGTCCTTTGGGCCTCAAAACACTTACATATACTGGCTTTCTTCTCTCCACTGTCCATATTCTTAGTTCTCTTTTACACATAATGTATGGAGGTTTTCCATTGTACTTTGTGGTAGAAATAAGGAAAATCATACTATTTCATCTTCCCAGAAGCAGAAGTTCCTTAACTGACATGCATTTAAAACCCACATCATTGACAGGAAACACTGGTTTCTCTTTGCGATCTGGTCACTCGGTCATCTGGTCAAACTGAGATTTACACGACCTTTAAGTGCATTGCTTTCCTGTGATGAGTATAAGCTCTAACTGAAATTTCTATTTTCGGGTTCCATAAGTTAGCACATTTATTAATGTGCCCATTGGATTCCAGGGTGTGAGGCAAGGTTATTTGGGGGAAATTGCACTTGAGTTAAATTCGTCAACATTTTAAGAAATTTATGCCAAATGCCTGACTTTTATTCAGTCAGACTGAAGAGTGTGGATGATGCTAAGGGGTTTAGTTAGTTCCCTGCCTGTGGTTCTAGGAGATTCTGGCCCAGTCCTTGGCTCCAGACAACTCTCCCACCACATGTGCTGAGGCTCCTGTCTCCTCATGAAGCTAAGTACTAGCTTGCTAATGAATCTTCCCCTGAGTCTAGGCCAGGAGACTGGAGCCATGTCATACATACTATGCCATCCATCCCCCAATGTTATGTCCAGGAGACATTTTATAAGATACCAATTTCACCGAGCTCCACCTGCCAATGCAGTGGATCACACCCGCTAGAAGTGTAGCTTAGGTGACTGTCCTGACCACCAGCACACCGGGAAGGCAGGGCAGCTCTGCCTGATGCAGGGCCTGCTGCAGTGCCCACTGCAGTGTTAGGAGCTGGCAGGGCAATTTGGAAAACAAGGAGCTGAGCAAACATTGCTCACTGTCACTGCCCAGCACCTGAGCTCCTCCCCCTCCAATGCCTGAGCTCAGCTGTCAATTGGGTCCCTGTGGCAACATTCCTGAAGGAAGTCTTCGTGGATATTATGTATTAGAAATATTTTAATCAGATATATTAGATAAGTCACTGAGTTTGTGGTGCAGAAAAAGGAGAAATAAGGAAGGACAAGGAAAAACCCCATGAATTTCCAAATATTGGCAAACTTACCTCTTTTTTGTGAGAATTATTAACTAAAAATGTAATAAATGTTTTGCTGAGTTTAAACTACCAAAGCACTTGCCAAGTTTCCTAAAACTCTGCTAGCATACTTTATTCCTCAGAGCCTAATTGGTGTTATTATTATTAGGAGGCACAAAAACTCCATTCAGTACTAATGTACTTGCAAAAAAATCCCAAGAAAACTGTTTTACTTTATAGGTAGACAACCTTTAGTTTTAACCTTCATAATTTAAATGGAAAAAAACCATATTTTTCTCCAAATAACTTTCATCACCTTGGTTAAGTGGGACTGTAGATCACTACACACACACACACACACACACACACACATACACACACACGTATACCCAAGTCTTTTTTCCGCCTTTAGAATTCCATGTGGGAAGAAATGGTTTGTACTCATAATTAGAACATCTTTTATTTCCCTAGTCAGGCTTAAAGTTTCCCTAAGACACAGTATCAGCTACAAAGTCAGCTCCGCTCCAAGTCCCTGAGTCACCTCTGTGCTAAGTGAGGACCTTTAAAGGAATGGTGTTTGGTCCTTTTCCAGTGCTCACCGATGCTCTCCCAGGCCTGGCAATTTCAGAGTTAGTGGGAGACTCAGGAGCCAACACAATGCTGTGCATGTATGGTGATGCCTATGCATTACAAAATGTGATGCGAGGCTCCAGGGAGCACGGGCTGGGCTGCGTCCAGCTCCAGCCCCTCCCGCGGCTGCAGTAGCAGAGTCCCCCATGCAATCTGTCATTCCCTCCTTTCGGGACCTGCCCACTCCCTAGAGATTGAGTAGCTGCTCCACCGGGATAATTGGATTTAGTCTTTATAGCTTCATTTGACTATAAGATGATCTTCCACATCCAGAAATGCAGTAAAACTAACAGCTTAAAGTAGACATAAAAAACACCTCCCTATTCTTCCTCAAATCTTTCAGCCTATGCTAATGTACCGCTATATAATAAACTATCAGGAAGTGAATGGCCCATTGAAATGTGTGTACAGTACCTGTAATGGGTGTTACTATATAAATAAGAAAATATTGCCCTGCTAGTTTCCTGAGAATGATTAATTTCATACCTTCCACTTCATAATAAATGATGCTTTCTGATTGTTACATCACCTCTCCCAGAGGCAAGGGGAATTCTATGATTATCTAGGAGTTGGTTGGAGTCTCACCAATTTATTTTATTGTAGAATTTAAAATGATTTTTTTTATTTAAAAAAAGAACATAGTAAAAATGTTCATGTTAATGTGCTTTGATTTCAATAGAAGGGAAGACAAAATAAAATGGTTATAGTAGAGCTCTGCTTACAAAGCTCCATTGGCTTTGGAGCTAACTGACCATGTCAATTCACTTCTTTGCCTTTGTCTCCAAATAATGGAAATCAAGGCAATGGATGGGCGATGGGCGATGGCCTATATGAAGCATTTACAATGAAGCACACACCATTATGGCTAAAATTGCTAAACAGTCTAGAGCAGGGGTGGGCAAACTTTTTGACTCGAGGGCCACAGTGGGTTCTTAAACTGGACCGGAGGGCCGGAACAAAAGCATGGATGGAGTGTTTGTGTGAACTAATATAAATTCAAAGTAAACATCATTACATAAAAGGGTATGGTCTTTTTTTTTTTTTTTTTTAGTTTTATTCATTTCAAGCGGGCCAGATTCGGCCCACATGTCATACTTTGCCCACGGCTGGTCTAGAGGGAAGCAGCACAGTCTTAGCTCACTGCTCCTGGCAGCACCGGAGTAACATAAGGGGCGATTAACTGCTTAGGTTCCTAGTCCCCAATCCATGCTCTCTCTTAAATATCTTAAATGATATTAAATAAAATTAAAGATGTAAAATAGGGACAGTTATAGAATCAAACTCAAAGTGTTAATTGTGAAGATTGACTCTGTATTTGGCACAATACAAGGTCCACCACAGTAAGCACTGAAAAAGTTGGAGCTATTATTAAGAAAAATTTCTACTCCTCCATTTGACTGAAGTACGCATGCAAATGAGTATTTATTTGTCATCTTAGGTAGACAATTGATGAATCACATACAATTTGCATTCTATAATAAAAGTAGATTAGAGAGAGCTCATGTTCTACCTCCAAAGTCTGAAGAGTAGTTTACTCAAAAACTGTATAAATTATTAAGTGAGTTTTGGGTTAAAGATATTACAAAACTTATTCATCTCATTCATTTGAGGGAATTTAATGACCAGTTCTAGACCAGACTAGCTTAAATGATGTGCTCCTATAAAAATACAGCCTTTAGAAAAGACGTTACACAGTGGACTGGGAATAATAAGCATGCTAAATAACAGTGGGGGAAGGGGAAGTTTATTACCTTCTGTATCCCTCTCTCAGTCATTCACCTTATTGGCGCATATTTGTTTATTTCTTGCAGTTCTGAAGCCAAAGAAATGCACTCAGAAATAAGTATAAGTGTACAGATGACAACAGTCACACATTCACATCTAAAGTCAGACACACACACACACACACACACACACACAGGCACGTCTAGCAACCTTTGTCTTACCTTCCTATGACCCAGAAGCTCATGAAAATTGCTCAGCGAAAACTCCCTTGTGTCTAGTGAAGCCTATAATCTCTTGAGCTTGTCCCTGGGATCATGTTTCATCTCTGGAGCCTGCTCTGTGATAAATTATACTTTGC